TATATATATATATATATATATATAAACATACATACAATGACAATGCTGGATGATCTTGAATAAGCAGAGAACTTTGGATTTTATTTTTGGCTGTTGAAGAACCTGGGAAATTTTTGAAACATCAACTGCTGAGAGTGAGTACAGAAAAGCTTCAAGATGCCTCCTTTCTTTTCCAAATAGGATTTCTGCCAGCTTCTCCAAAGGGTGACTGTGTTGGACTCTGGAAGATATGAATGCTTTGCAGGACTCAACGTGTTCAAATGTGTGAGAAGGCTGAGATGAGAGATCCACAGAACGAGGAGATGGGAGTTGCTTCTGAGAGTCAAACTGTATGGAACTCTGTGGCAGACCAAAAAAATCTCTCAGGAAGGATTCAGCTCTTAGATGACAACAAATGGCCACAATTACAGAGAAATGTTTTTTCTCCACCAGCAAGGAGAAGGAAGMAGCGACTGGCTGGAATCAAAACAACTGATAACAGCCAGAGAAATGAAGACAGAGYAGTCTTTCTTCAAAACAGATTCACACCACTGGAATAAACTGGTGAGTCTGAACAAAGTTCATTTTCTGATCTCAGAGACGGACCTGAGACCAGATCCAGCTCAAAGCCAAAACAAGTCCATAGAGAGACTTTCAAGAATCAAGAAATTCTGATTAACACAGATAAAATGGTGAATGAGATCAGAGGCTTCTGGAACAAGAAAAAAGTCAAAGTTCTGAGTTTTGCTGATAAAGTGTCTGACCTCACAGAGAAGATTCTGGAAATAACAGCAGAGTATCCAGCTCTAAAGATGCTCATCATTCATTCAGGAAGTGATGAAGTTATGAACAGACAGTCAGAAATCCTGTAGAACGATTTCATTCAKTTGTTGAATGTAGTTAAAAATCTTAACATGGATGTGTTCATCAGTGGACCAATTCCTACAGCAAAAGTAGGCACCGAGAGGTTAAGTAGACTTTTTGCCTTTTAATGGTTTTTTGGAAAAGTTCTGCGCTGACCACTCTATGAGATTTGTGGATAACTTTGATCTCTTTTGGGAGAGATGACATCTGTTTAAGTCTGATGGAATGACTCTGAATCAAACAGGAGCACAACTTCTGGCTTCCTGAACCAAGTTCTGGCTAGAAACAGGAGAAATCACAACAGCTAGTGTCTGAAGGACAGCTGGAGTGAACTGAGACACCAATGGAACACAAACAAATGGCTGATAAGAAGACTGCTGCATAATCAGAACTACAGAGAGAGGAGTTACTTCAAGCCTCAGAACTGGAAGAACTGGATTCAGGCTCACAAACAGAGGATCTGGAAAAGGAGTTTCCCCAAACAGCAACAGGAGAACAAGACCCCACTTTCTCTCCATCAGAGGACCTCAAACCTTTGTCCTCTGAGACCCCAACAGGACAGCAAGTGGAATGCCCCCTCCTGTTTTTYACTAACAACATGAAAKAACCTGGCGAGATTAGGATCCAACTCACACCATGCCCAAATCCAGCTAAAGCTCATCTTCCAGCCCCTGGCCTTAAACCAGCCTCTAAAAGAATTCACAGAGCCCCACCACCACCTCTGACTCTTCCATATATCAAAACAGACAATCCTGTTTGTGTTCAGGATGATCCAAAGACTTTACTGTGGGTGGAATAAAAATTTACTGGGGTTGGGATTTTAGAAAAGTACMTATACTTAGGTTTGTGTTGACATCATTTTTAATACATTGAAGTTTTTTTATTGGTCATTTAATTGATCATTAAATGATCAGATGGGGAGAGTGTAATGGAAATAATACATTTAGGTTTAAGCCAGTAATTCATGACATACTTTAATGACCTATGTTTTCATGACATGCTGTTTTTCAGCAGATARAATGATGAGTCAGAACAAGATTTGCTAACAATAATCATTCTTAGATATCACTTGTGTTTCTCTTTGTGTTTTCCCTTGTCCTAGTATTTCCTTACTATTTAATCTTGCTTTATTAAGATGACACAATGGGGTTTGTTAAACAATATATATATGAGGCCTCAACTGCCTCAGAGAAGTAGAGAAGACAGTAGCAGAGAGCAGGGTGGACAGTCTGATGGCTCGATGTTTTTCCTCTGTGTTCATGTTGTTGCAAATAAAACTCAGCTGATCATTTCCATGGAGTACCTTCATTCTTGGACCACATATTTCTGTCTTTGTTGAATAAATATTTCCATAACAGTGTAAAAAAAACGTACAACACATGAAAGTGCTGAAACGACACAAGCTAACAAATGTTGTGCTAGCTTAAATGCTAATATACTATGTCAGATGCATATAAACTCTTCTGCTGACTCAAAAACGACAACTCTTGGAAAAATTTGGTGTACAGCACACATTAGTTTAATACTTGACACATGAAATAAAACAACAAAATTACAGGCTGTGTTTTGCCAAAGAAGAGAGCTTGACCAACTCAAAACTGTAGCATCACTAAACAGGAAGTCGTACCGCAGTGACTTCCGGTTTTTCAAAACAAAAGCCTGAATGAAGCTTGTGGGCTTTGCACGTCCAAAACCACCATAGTAAAATTAAATGTAGACAGATTTTTATAAGAAAGACTCCATTTATGGCCATTTAAGATATAACTTTTTGCCTAAAAACATCTCAAAACTTATGTCCTGATGCATCTCAGTAATCCAGGTAAAAAATCAAAAGGAAAAAAAATTGTATAGGTCCTCTGGACGGG